TTTCTGGTTGCTATTTATTTATTTATTTTTGAGACGGAGCCTAGCTCTGTCGCCAGGCTGGAGTGCAGTGGCTTGATCTCAGCTCACTGCAACCTCTGCCTCCTGGGTTCAAGTGATTCTCCTGACTCAGCCTCCGGAGTACCTGGGACTATAGGCATGTGCCAGCACACCCTGCTAATTTTTGTATTTTTAGTAGAGACAGGGTTTCTGCTCTCTTGGCCAAGATGGTCTCGATCTCTTGACGTTGTGATCTGCCTACCTTGGCCTCTCAAAGTGCTGGGATTACAGATGTGAGCCACCGCGCCCTGCTGGTTGCTGACTTTTTAATGGCTGCATAATCAAGCAAGTGTACCATAGTTTTATTTAGCAAATATTTCTTTGTTAAACATTTAGGTTACTTCTAATTAACTTTTAATTTGTCGCCATTACTGTGCTGTGGTGACCATATTCATGCATATGGCTTTTCTCATATTTTGAAGTATAGCCTGAGAACTTTAGTTTACAGATTCAAATAATAGCTGTGTTTTACACTATTAATAAAATCTACCTAATTACTTAAAAGAGATTAACAATTGTCATCATGGAAATGGTTAGAATATTTGGAGTTTGGGATTTGAATTCATTTTACAGATACCCAGACTTGTAGCTGGAGGTGACACTAAGGACCTTACTCCTCATCTTATGTTTTGTTTTCGTCTTTTCTATTAGACTGTGATTTTAGTGCTTTTGACCGACCAGTTGGTATGCTGAAGAATGCTGTGTGGGCCTTTGTGAATACCTTATTTTGTAGAAGTACATTATGTCATACTGGCTTAAAAGTCATGTACCTGTATCCTCTTTCTCACCTTCATGGGAAAAAAAAGAAAAGGAAATGAACGAAGAAGGATACTGTCATCAGAAGCAATTTAAAAAGTTTTGGGACAATGTCTTGTCCTAAGTGCTAATTTTAGTGCAATAATTACTAATAATTCCTACAGTCTCCAAGAAAAGTTAAAATTGTTAGATATGTTACCAAAACACAGAATGGCCAGATTAAACAAAGGATGTCCTAAAATAGTAGTGTCGATGCTTAAAAGGTTAAAACTGTTTTTTGTGAACATTAGTCTTGTGAAATAGGGTTTTCTCAGTTATGCTGAATGAAGTAGTCATACAGTTATATGGAAACAGATATTAAACATAAGAAGTTTTGGGAGTTGCAGATTTAATCTGGTCTCAGGATGTTTCCTTGGCAGGACTTTTTAAATACAGCTTGCATCCTCAGAGAAAACTGAAGTTACCAAATCTAATGCTGAACAGTTGGCCTTGAGAAAAATAAAATTGTATCAGTTTTCAGGAAACAAGTTTATTATTTTTAAGTACTAAAAATAGTTTTAAATAGGCTTTGTGGAATAGTTGATACTAATCAAACTAGATTATAAAGAAGAATGTTACTTTAAAGTAGAAGGTGATTTAGTGGGTTGAGTATGAACCTTAGAATTCCATAGACTTGAGTTCAGATTATGATTTTGGTATTTCTGAAGTGTGTGACTTTAAGCAAGTTTGTTAAACCTGATGTTCAGTGTATAAAGATTGGAGAGCCCAGTTCAGTTTCTGGCATGAAGCTAGCTGTTATCAGATTGAGGCTTTAAAACCTGCTATACTGCGTGAATAAAAATGTGTTAATTTTTATATCTTTTGTAATCAAATCAGTGTAGCCACAATTCTGGAGGAAAAACTTTCACTGTGGTACAATAATTTTTATTTGAGTTGTATACATACACATTGTGTTTTTTCTTTTGTGTAACAAATTGCCACAAACAAATTTATTTGCTTGAAACACAAATATTAGCTCACAATTTCCATGAATCAGGAGTCCACCTATGGGTTAGCTGCTGGACCACCTGTCCAGGATCTTATCTTGCAGGAGCTGTGATTTCTTCCTTGTCTCCTTTCAAGTTCACTGGTAGAATGTGGTTCTTGTGAAAAGGACTGAGGTCCCCCATTTTCTTGCTGGCTGTCAATTGGTGACTGCTCTCAGCTCCTGGAATATGCCCACAACCCCCTGCCACATGGCACCCTTCATATGCCTTCTCACATCAGCTTAGTCTGAAGAATTGGCAAGAGATTCTCTGGGGAAGGACTCAGTTCTGCTTGCTTTTATTAAGTCAGGCCCAGGCTCACCCAGGATAATCTCTAACTTACATTCACCTGACTTGGACTCTTCATTACATCTGAACATCTCTCCCCCTTTGTCATTTGATGTAACCTAATCATGGGAATGAAATACATCATGTTCACAGCTGTGCCTGCACATATGGGAAAGGGGGTTGTGTAGGAGATGTACACCAGAGGTAATCTTGGGGGGCAGCCTGTGTATGCCACCTGCTACACACACACACACACACACACACACACACACCCCACCCACCCACCATGTATGTGTGATTTTATTTTACCTAGAAGTAAAATAAAATTGTAACTGGTTTTAATCAAGCACGTCTATGGTTTTGTCCCAGACTTATTTTAACTACAGGATTTGAATATAGCTTTTGTCAATTATATTTGTCCATCCTTTTTTATAGACAACTGGAGCTTCTGACCAAAGGAAAGTATTGTGACTAGGAGAGGATATGCTTGAAAATTATGGTCACAGGGACCAGGTTTGCCAGTTGTTCATTTGTAGATGATCAAGATCTTAAGATTTCAAAGGAATGAGGAACGGAGGAAAAGAAACATGATCTCTATTTGTCTTTTCCCAGCCAGCTACTTGTATTAACAATTTTGTAAGACATTTTTGGGCGTGTTAGTTGAAGGCAGGATGGCCTTAGGAAAACGTCCTACAAAGGATACATATTGAGCAAATGAAAAGCTTAAGGGGATGCAAAAAGATTCCTGTATAAAAAAATGAACCATTTTGAGAGTGGCAAAGGCCCTCCTTAGATTGAGTCAGGAATGTGGAATATTCCTTTTTCTATGAAACCTTACTCTTTAGATTAACTCAGAACTCTTGCTCATGTTCTAATTTTTGCCTGTTTTATGGCACTTAAATACTACAGTTGGCTGCTCACATCTGGGTTTAAAAAAATTATTAGAATAAGTTTCTTGAGGGTAGGAGTCATGTTTTATCTTTATATCTTATTAGATAAATTCATTTACTTATTTTTAGAGACGGTCTCACTGTGTTGCCCAGGCAAAAGTATAGTATTGCAGTCATGGCTCACTGTAACCTCAAACTACTGGGCTCAAGTGAACCTCCTGCCTTAGCCTCCTGAGTAGCTAAGACTATAGGAGTATGCCCCTATGCCACCATGCCACGCTAACTTTTTGTTTATTATTTTTTTTGGGGGGGGGGAAGAGATGGGGTTTTCTCTACGTTGCCCAGGCTAGTCTTGAGCTCCTGTACTTGAGCTCTTCTCCCACTGTGGCCTCTTAAAGGGTTGAGATTACAGGTGTGAGCCACTGCATTTGGCCTCTCTCTCTATCCTTCCTAATTTAATTCTTGGCTTGTAGGAGTCAGTCAGTAAATACACCTTGATTCAGCAATGCATACTTCTGCGTAGTGGTAAAGGATAGCCCATTCATGTTTCTAGTATAGAGACCAGAACGTTTTGTACAGAAAACAAATGAATTCTAAATTTCCTGTCCTCAAGTGTTTTGTTTTTTACTTGTAGTTGAGTCTTTAGAAGTATTTGTACTCTTACCAGTGGGCCCAGTTATTTGTTTACCAGGCCTGTAGCAAACCAGGAACAAAATACTATAAAGAGGCTAAGGAAGGTAGGGATATTAATATATTAACAGCAAGGATATTAATGTAATTAGCATTCCATCTTACGATCAGTTTCTGGCTGCTTCCTTATTATCTAGCCATATTGAATGTTTTGCAGTTTTCTGGCTATACTACTCTCTCTTGGCAGTAGCTTCTCCATAGCACCGAGTGCCTACTGTTATCATAATACTTACTTCATGCAGTGATTTATATTTGTTTTCTTTTTTATAGCATATACTTCTTGAAAGTAGAAAACCATGTTTTTGTTTTTGATTTAGTGCCTGTCACCAAATAGACACTTAAGTGTAAGACTGAGTGAACGAATGAGGCAATGAAACTCTAAAAAGAAGACCACGTTATAGTACATAACTTTTAGCGTAGGGACAAGAGGGGCCAAGATCCTTTACCCCAAGAAGGATTCACTGTCACAACACAGTGGAACATATTATGTTCATGATTTTTTAATGTTACAGATTAAGTATATTTAAGTGCTTAAATTTAAGGGGATTGACCCATGATCAAGTCAAACGTTTATTTGTAAATTTATTTTTGTTTTCTAATTTTTGTAGATACTGTGGCGATCCTCCTACTTTGACATCCCAAAGTGCTGAGATTACAGGTGTGAACCACCACATTGGCCAAATTAAGCATTTAAAAAAGCATTTAAAACATGGCATTACTTTTGTGCTTCGGATTGTGTCCTTTACTCCTTAGGAAGGTCGTTAGGTTTGTGTTGAATAGAGCTGAGATTTCCACAATCAAACATATGATTGCTATAGAAAATTTGCCACAAATATTGTTAAATCTGTCATCTTCCTTTTCATGATTATTTGGAAGGTTAACTAAAAAATAGAATGAGAAAAAATATTAATCTTGGTCCAGGCAAACACTTATCTTTCTGTACTTAAGATATGTAATTTTACCTTTGGTTTTCTTAGCATGAAGTCTGTCCTTTAGAATTTCAGAATTAACATCAGCAGAAAAAGTTACCAATAGGTATTTGAGAAACAGGAAGGACATGGTGCTCTTGGGCTGTGCTGTTTTGCTTGAGACAGTTTTTGTAAGAGAGATCCATTGCCAAGGCAACCTTTGCCATCCTTATGTTTTGATGTTTAAAATTAGTTTTTAATTTCTTTCCTGTCTCTGCTAGCAGAATCATCAAATACTTAGAAAATCCAGACTGTCCTTCATAGGCATGATTCTCCACATTGGTGCGGCTAGCCATGAACTATCCTTTTCTTCCTCTTTTTCCCAGATATCTCCCGGGGCCAATTCAGCATCTCTACCTGGCCATCCTAACAAGGTGATTTGTGAAAGGGTGAGACTTCAGAGCCTGTTCCCTCTCCTCCCAAGTGATCAGAACACTACCGTTCAAGAGGATGCTCACTTCAAAGCTTTCTTCCAGGTTCTTATATATTTACCCTTTCCCTACATAGGGCTGAAAGTCACATTCTAGGGTGTTTCTAGAAGGCTTGAAACAAATTACGCAATATCGTCTCCTTGTTTTTCTGTTGTATGTGGAAATAAATATTCTTCTTAGAGGACTTTAATATTTTTTCAGCCAGCTTTTCTGATGAATGTTTGTCTTCTTGAGCTATTCAGCCACTGTTAATTATTTGACTACTTAATATTCTTGTGTTTTGATCTTTTGGTCTTAAATCACTTGTCCTAATAGGTCAAGTTCTATAGGAAAGTAGAAGATAGTATAGAATATATGATGTTGTGTGGAAAAGGAAAAATGGAAGCATGTAAGATGTTCACTAGTTACTTGATTGGCACCCAGAGTTTGATAGTAATACACATTTTTGAGAGAAAACGTGGTTACTTGTCTTTTTTTTTTTAACCTGTGGGGGAAAAATGTGAGTTAATTTTTTTTTAAATGTAAAATGAAAATAAGGTGTGTAAATGGCTTAAAACTCATTAGGTTATTAGCAAAATTACTGGGATCCGCCCATAGAAATCATTGGGTACCCCACTGTCAATTCATCTTCCTAGAGAAGCATGTTTTACTAATGGATGTCAGTAACACTGTTACCACAAAAGTCAGGTTACACAGTTGCTTCTGAGAGGTAGGATTGTGGGCCAATATGTATAAACCTGAGATAGTGAAATAATTGATTATCAAGGGTGGGACTTTTGGATAGAGCCAGCTCATTTTCTGTTTGTATGAAAGCGAATGCTTGTGAAACAAAGTTGGAGATAAAAAATTTGGAGGGATCGGTTATCTAGGACTCTTCAGCATGGTATTCCTTCTTGGAATTTGTGCCAGATTCTCTGCTGTGCATGTATTAACTCTCTTTGTTTTTAGCCCTCACAATAAACTAGTCATTGGTGGTTTTTAAGATATAGAAACAGGCTATGAAAAGCTTGGTGAGGTGCCTAATCACATATCTAATTATTTGGCAGAGAAGGGGCTCAAATCTAACTTTAGCTGAATCTTGTCTACTATATATATGTGGAAGAAACTGACTTAATACTCTTACTACTGCCACCATTAAGAAGTGTTCTTTTGATACTTCTCATTACTCCCTTTGTGTCTTCAGATAATAACTCAATATAAACTTAATTTCAAATGCAAAAGTTAAACTCACGTTGTGAAAATGGAACAATAAAGTTAGAGCCAGTTGCACTTGAGTGGTGCAGAAAGATGAAATGTATTGTTAAATTTTTATTTAATAGTCTTAATTTAACCTAAGTCTTACTTTCCTTGAACCTTAAGTGCTCAGTGAACTTTCAGGGGGAAACTACAAGTTTTCTTTGCCCAGTTACAATCACTACCCTACCACTGTTCAACATGAAGCTAAGTAGGTCTTTCTCACAACCCCTTTGAGATACTGATACCTTCAACTGGTTGACACTTTTTAAATAGGGTGTAATTTGTTAGTTCCAGTTATGCTTCTTATCCGTAAAAACTTAAGTTACCACATGCAAAGGAAAACCTATCTAGCCACCTAGTGTCAAAAGTTATTCCCTTAATGTGTTATGATTTCTTCTTCTTGGCTTTCTTCTCAGGTACCTTGTCTCCCAATTATTTCTACTTTTCCTTCTTTTTAGAATAATCCATTTTAAACAGATTTACTTATGTTTTCATTTTTTTCTTCAGGCACCCTCTCTGCTTCCTTATCTTAGGTAAAATGTCTGTCTTTTCTGAGGACATCAGCCTTCTCTAGGAGTAGAGAAGTTAATTGATCCCACCACCAAGCATGAGGAGTTGGGTGTGTTGCTAGTAAGGTGGCCATAGAGGAGAAAAAATTTGTTGCTGCTCTTCTTGGATTCTTACTATTGTTCTATCACCAATCTTTATCAACAAAAAAACTCATCCTTTTGTGAGCTTTTTTTGGGTCAGTCATCTATATTATTTATCAATTTTGTCCTTGTCCTTGTTTATTAAAAACTTCTACATTTTGCTTCTCATATTGGCTTGTTTTGTATTGCTCCTAGTAAAGACTTTTTTTAATTGCCAGAATTTTTTTTTAATTTTGCATGCTTTAATTTGTGAGTTTGTTTTAATTTGTGAAAGAGTTCATATGTGTAATTTAGAAAATATAAAGCAGATACCTATATAATAATAAAACAGTATTGCAGACACCTATATAATAATAAAACACCAGCTAGTGTAAGAAACCAGCCATTAGTAATACTTTTGAAGCCCCCATATGACCCTCCGTGTTAATATCCCATGTTTGTGCCTCAGGTACATCTCTGTTCATATCCTTTTGCTTTTCTGTATTGTTTTACCATATAAAATACTTCTTGATGTTATACTGTTTAATTTTGCTTGTTTCTGAACTTAGTGTAAATGATGTCACACATTGTATACTTTTTTGAAATTCATCCATTTAAGTGCATCTGCCTGTATACTTGATTTATCTTATTTTTAGTTTTCCATTATATATGAATATACTGCAGCTTATCTCTTTTCTTTTTGCTTGACATTTGGGTAGTTTTCTGTTTTTTTCTACTGTTATTACTAGCAGTGCTTCCAGGAATATTCTTGTATGTGCTTCCCGGTGCACATTTGGGAGGTATTTTAGTGGTTCTGTAAAAGTGATGGCTTTGTGTACTCATTGCCCACTGAAGAGATAAAAGTGTAGGTTCATTTGCATCTCTATAAAAACTCATTTAAAATTAGAATCTGAAGGCTTCATACAATATTTTAAACATTTTTAAATTAAGGTATACTTAACATAAAGTTAAGTATTTAGCATATAGGTCTGTGAGTTTTGATAAATGTATACAGATGTGGAGTCACCACCACAATGAATCTTATCACCTCCCAAAATTCCCTCATCTCTCTTTGCTGTCAACCCCAATCTTAAAGTTTTAAAATTAGCCATGTCTTTACTGTCAGTGGATTCAGTGGTTGTGATTGAACATAATAAGCTTTGAAAAAGTAATTAAGTACATGGTAAGAGAATTTCATACCTGGCACAATCATTAATTTCAGGGGTGTTTGTGGTATCTTAATGACAGCTGTGTTATAACTATTACACACCCAGCTAATTGTTGTATTTTTAGTAGAGCAACCTTTTCGCAGTAAATTTGTTAACAGAGAGGGGTCCCCATCCCAAGAGAGGGTTCTTAGGTCTTACACCAGAAAGAATTCAAGGTGAATCCATGGAATAAAGTGAAAGCAAGTTTATTAAGAAAGTAAAGGAATAAATAATAGCTACCCCCTAGGCAGAGCAGCCCTGAGGCCTGCTGATTGCCCATTTTATGATTATTTTTTGATTATGTGCTAAACAAGGGGTGGATTATTCATGTCTCCCCTTTTTAGTTTTAGTAATCCCAGCCTTTGGGGAGGCCCTGATCACTTGACGTCAGAAGTTTGTTACCAGCCTGGCCAACATGGCGAAACCCTGTCTCTACTAAAAATATAAAAATTAACCAGGTGTGATGGTACATGCCTGTAGTCCCAGCTACTTGAGAGGCTGAGGCACAAGAATCACTTGAATCTGGGAGGCAGAGGCTGCACTGAGCTTAGATAGTACCACTGCATTCTAGCCTGGGCAACAGAGCAAGACTCACTCTCAAAAAAATAAAAATAGGCTATATTGGGCAACTTCCTGACATTGCTATGACATTTGTAAACTGTCATGGTGCTGATGAGAGTGTAGTAGTGAGGATGACCAGCGATCACTCTCATTGCCGTCTTGATCTGTCTCATCCTGTGACTTAGAATGCCTAACTTAATGGAAATGCAGCCAAGTAGGTCTCAATCTTATTTTATCAAGCCCCTGTTCAATATGGAGGCATTCTGGTCAAACACCTCTGACAAATTTACTACAGTTAAATTAGGTGAATGAAAATTTGAAAATTTATACACATGGAGAAATACGCCATGTTTCTGAAAGAGAAATTATTGTAAAAATATCTATACTCTAGCAAATTTGTAGACTTAGTGAAATCTGCAGCCAAAATATCAGCAGAATTTTGTTTTTAGAACTTTCAGAATTATTTTTAAATTCATACCAAAGATTACTGAATATAAAAGAGGGGGGACAAACTTTTCCAAAAATTGTCATAAGGGGAGAATATGCCATAAGAGATAGCAAATCATATTAGAAAGAAATAGCTCTGTCAGAGACCTCTGTGTTGGTATTAGATTGGTGCAAAAGTAATTCTGGTTTCAGACCATGAATTTTAAATCATCATAACAAGTCTCAAATATGTCTTTATTAATCAAAATGGGGACCATTGCAGTCAACACATTTTTGATAAATATGTTTGTTCTAGTAGCATAAAAATCCCTGTTTTAGGATTGGACAAACTCTTGGGAAGTATTTTGTACATCTTCCTGGTTGTAGAAGCCTTTTCCTGGCACTTCCCAAAGCCCAACTTGCACCAGAAAGAGGTCACAGTCACTGTTTGGTGGTCTGCGCTGGTCTGATTGACTACAGCTTTCTTTCTTTCTTTTCTTTTCTTTTTTTTGAGACAGAGTTTCACTCTTGTCATCCAGGTTGGAGTGCAATGGCCTGATCTCCACTCACTGCAACCTCCGCCTCCTGAGTTTAAACGAACTCTCCTACCTCACCCTCCCAAGTAGGTGGGATTATAGGCACACACCACCACACCCCGCTAATTTTTGTATTTTTGGTAGAGAAGCCTTTTCGCAGCAAAAAGTTGGTTGTCGAGATGATTGAAGAATTGGTAGTTGGTCGGCTAGAGATCAGGTGAGTATGATGGGTGAGGCAAAGCTTTGTAACCCAGTTGGTTTAACTTTTGAAGCTTTGGTTGTGCAACATGCCAAGAATTCACGTCACAAAGAAAAATTGGGCCCTTTCTGTTGATCAGTGCTAGCTGCAGGCATTGCATTTTTCGGTGCATCTCATCAGTTTGCTGAGCATACTTCTCAGATGTAATGGTTTTGCAGGGATTCAGAAAGCTGTAGTGGCTGGGCTCGGT